AGAATAATTTTAAATTAAAATGACCAGATGCCTTATGACAGGTTTCAGAGTAGCAGCCATGTTAGTCTGTATCCGCAAAAAAAAAAAAAAAAAAAAAAAAAAAGGAGTACTTGTGGCACCTTAGAGACTAACAAATTTATTTGAGCATAAGCTTTCATGAGCTACAGCTCACTTCATCGGGTGCATTCAATGGAAAATACAGTGGGGAGATTTATATACACAGAAAACATGAAACAGTGGGTGTTACCATACACGCTGTAACAAGAGTGATCAGGTAAGGTGAGCTATTACCAGCAGGATAGCGGGGGGAAATAGTGATTTTGTAGCGATAATCAAGGTGGGCCATTTCCAGCAGTTGACAAGAACGTCTGAGGAACAGTAGCGTGGGGGGGGGGGATAAACATGGGGAAATAGTTTTACTTTGTGTAAAATGACACATACACTCTCAGTATTTATTCAAGCCTAATTTAATGGTGTCCAGTTCGCAAATTAATTCCAATTAATACGCCGTCTCTCGTTGGAGTCTGTTTTTTGAAGTTTTTTTGTTGAAGAATTGCCACTTTTAGGTCTGTAATCGAGTGACCAAAGAGATTGAAGTGTTCTCCGACTGGTTTTTGAATGTTGTAATTCTTGACGTTTGATTTGTGTCAATTTATTCTTTTACGTAGAGACTGTCCAGTTTGGCCAATGTACATGGCATTTTCCATTGAATGCATCCGATGAAGTGAGCTATAGCTCATGAAAGCTTATGCTCAAATAAATTTGTTAGTCTCTAAGGTGCCAAAAGTACTTCTTTTCTTTTTGCGGATGCCTTATGAAATACAACTTTTATCACACTTGGGTCAGTGGCTCAAATCTGGCTCATGTTGGAAATTTTCAATAGTTTTCAATAGCCTACCCAAAGTGAGCAGGTCGTCTCAATCAGGTTCCTAGTTGACAAGTGACACCACAGAAACTGTACTCTTTCTGACAATCTCCAGAGAGATGGCAAGGAATAAGTGGGGAAAAAGAATGAACCCCTCTCCCCCAAAGGTCATTGCTCCAAACCTAGCTTGAGGCACGTTGGTGGGGCAAGTCTGGAGAAACCTGCACTGCCACTGGCCATACTGTAACTACTCTGTGGACTGGAACCTCCAGTTACCAGTTCTTGCAATCTGCCCATTTACATGAGAGTCATATAATGGAGTAAACCTCAATATTGATGCAAAACTTCCAAGTGTATTCACACAAACTCTGGAATGCAGCGTTATAGCATCTATTTTGCTTTAACATTCTATACGATTTTCCTTTATACTATGTTTGTATGTTATTGTGACTTTTACCTTACACAGAATATTTGACAGGAATTTAACTGCAGGTTGTAAATGTAATACAAAAAGATAGGTTCTTAATTCAATCAAAAGGCAAACAAACCTTGTGTGTCTTATCGAAGACCGAGACACACACTCTTGTATAAGGTACCAGTTTCATATAGATATGATCCTTATCTCAAGGCAACCACTGAAGATATTTATGTTTCTAGGAAAAGATCCGATTGTGTAAAAGAATGCAAGGATGTTCTTCATTCAGGATATTCAAAGTTAAGTGATAATCAGGATGTTATCTGAGCTATAAATTAAGTCATTAAAGTGGGGCTCTTTTCACCCCTCCCCTTTGCAAAAAAAAAAAAAGTCGACAGTTTAAACCCACACAAAAGGATTGTAGAACTATAAAAGAAATTAGTTTTAATAAGAATAAGAACTCTAAAGTCTTCATTCTACAATTTTAAGGAAGAACAGTTATGATTGGAAAATGTTTTACAACCGATATGAATTACTTTTAACTCATTTTCACTTGAAGGTGAAAACCTGGTTGTTCCTCAAATGCTTAAGATGGAATAACCTTCTTTGGAAATGTATACTTGCAAATGTCTTGTATCTAAATGCAAGCCCTCATATTATTGCCTGACACCGTTGTTATATAAGTAGTAACATGTTTTATGTACAAACATTAGATCATGTGATGCTATAACAGATTACTAATGTAAAAAGCCATCTGTCTATAGAAATATTTATATTAATTGGGAGTTAGTTATCTGGCAATGCTTAAGCAACTCCTTAACCAAACTCAAAAGCAAAAGTTACTTTTCCAAGGAAAGGTAAGAACAAAGGACAACAACTTATTCGAGAACTATTAAAGTTTACAAACTCTCTAAGAATTATTTATGTTAAAAAAAAAGTCTATTTTGAGTGATGAAAGACTTTTACAGTGAAAATAAGCAAAAAGAACGAGGACTACTTGTGGCACCTTATAGACTATCACATTTATTTGAGCACAAACTTTCATGGGCTAAAGCCCACTTCATCAGATGCAAGCAGTGGAAAATACAGTAGGAGGATAGATAGATAGATATATACACACACACACAAAACATGAAAAAATGGGTATTGCCATACCAACTCTAACGAGACTCATTGATTAAGGTAGGCTATTATCATTATTATTACTACCAGTGCATCATCAAGGATCTACAACCTATCCTGAAGGACAATCCCTCACTCTCACAGACCTTGGGAGACAGGCCAGTCCTCACTTAGAGACAGCTCCCCTACCTGAAGCAAAAATTCACCAGCAACCACACTCCACACAACGAAAATACTAACCCAGGAACCTATCCTTGCAACAAAGCCTGTTGCCAACTCTGTCCACATATCTATTCAAGGGACACCATCATAGGATCTAATCACATCAGCCACACCATCAGGGGCTCGTTCACCTGCACATCTACCAATGTGATATATGCCATCATGTGCCAGCAATGCCCCTCTGCCATGAACATTGGCCAAACCAGACAGTCTGTACTTATGGCCTCTTTGTATGTCTCTGTGGAGAGCTTTCAACAGAGATTACATCTCTGAGAGTGGGTCTGTTCTCAGGAGCATGCTCTTCTGTAGGTAAACTAAAACCAAAGTACATTGTTCCCAAAATTAGTCATGAGTTCTGTCTCAGTGTATTATTATTGATTATTCTTATAGATTGGCATAATAATTTCATTCAACCCCACATGACTAAAACAGTGGGAGTCACATCCCTGAACTGGGATTAAGAGAGAGAATTCTTAAGATTTGGACTATCATTTTTTGTTTCTCTAAATTATAAAGGTTTAGAATAAAATTACTTGCTTCTCAACAACTTACAACACCATATGTATAAAGATATTTCTAGGTTTTTAGAAAAAAACTGATAAAACAAATTCTATCATGTGGCAACAGAGTAACATCCACATGGTTCATCAGCAGGGTTGGAACCTTTAGCTCCACCACACAGACCTCCTCTGCCACTTGAGCTAACAGAACAATCGATGGTGAGTATTAGATTGTCATCCTTTATGTGGAGCAGCATTAGAGGGGGTGAGACATGCACTTTGCCAGTGGGTTTCACATATATTTGCTGACATCAGAGGAATGTTGTCACTCAGTAATCTTGGGTTCTACTCCAGGCTCTGGAGGGAAGTGTAAAGACTTCTGCCCATTCCCCACAAGCTTGACCTCCTTCTGCATTGTCCCAGTCCTGTTTCTTCCCCACTCCTCGTTCCTTGTCACAGTTTCTTTGCCCAGCAAGTCCTAGTGTCACCCAACTGGGCTCACTGTCCAAGTCCCAATTTCTCCTCCATTCCTATTCTATCCCCCTCACCATATCCAATCTCAATCTCTTTGCCCAGCCAGTCTCAGTTCTTGCATCCTGGCTCCTCATCCAATCTGTCTTGCTCCTCCCCCAACCAACAGAAATTCCCAGCCTCCTCAACCACATTCAGTTTCTCCCCCTACTGAGACATCACCTCAGGCTCACTCATCCATGATTTACTGTTCCAAGCCCTTTGCTCAGCCAGTCCCAGTTTTCCCCCCTGTATCCCAGCTCCTTGTCAGATCTGTCTCCCCACCTCCATTTTTCCCCCACACTGGTTCCTAACCCTAGTGTCCTTGTCCAATCAGTTTCAGTTTCCCCTCATTTTGCTAATTCCTCATCCAATCCAAGGGTTCCCCACCCTCAGTCAAATGGCTGCCAGCCCCTCCGTCTCATTTCCCTCATTACAGCTCCCAGACCCAGACTCCCCACCCCCAAGTACCAGTCTTCTTGCCCAACCTGTCCCAGTTTCTTTCCCACCTTCACCAGATTCCTTGTTCCAATTTACTCCTTTCCCTCCCCTCTTATACAGCTTTTGTCTTCTGTGCATTTGAATAAGACCACACGCTCCTTCCCGCTACCTCGGTGCCAGCACAGTGGTCGTTGACAACGCAGAAGAGACATGCTCTTAGTTCCAGTGCCTGGATCCACCCTGGCCTAGAGTGCCCGTTGGCTGGAAGTAGTCATTAAAAGGGAAACCCCAGCTTCACCTAGCTGCAGAGATCATGCTCAATTGCCTTGTGGAGATGGCACATATGCAGTCTGGTCAGCACTAGGAGCTGAGAGCTTGACCTTGGTCAATGGGGGCAGAATCTTCAGAGATTTTAGCTGCTATAAATGAAGCATGTGAGAACTACAATTTTTAAAAAGTTTATACCTTGGCCAAATTTGGGCAGATTTTTCATGAGTCAGCAAAAGGCATATGCATCCCTGATACAAAGGCCACATCCACGTCAAGTTTCAAGTCTCTGCCCCATAGGTGCACTAGAGCAATTAAAAAAAGTTTCCAGAATTTTTTTTTTAAACTATCGGCAAAACAAGGTATTTTTCTTTAGCCTCATGGTCAGAAATGGTTGAACCATTTCAGCTGAAATGTTTAAAAAAATAAATCAGCCTGGGGCACACAGGGAAAATTTCGTCCAAATGGCCAAAATTTGGCAAAGTTATAAGCAACTGAAACAGAGTCTTATAATGAGAAGAGCTGTGTAACCTTAATAATTGGCAGTGCTACCAGCCCCTCCTATAATAAGGAACTACTGGGTGAGGTCCTAATTATCTAAATATAAATATGAAACTAAAAACAATATTAAATTAACTGTACTGATGGGGCAATTTACCTTAAATTCTTCTACAATAATAGTTAGGGCTTGATGTCCAGCTTTCCTCATGTCTTCTAACTCAAGCTTGTGTTTCTCCTGTAAAAAAAAAAATGTAATGAACATTATATAATAACTACACAGGGTTGACAGAATCATATACATTGAGATGCAATATCCAGTGAACTAAGTACACCTCTTTCCTAGTACAAGATTGTTCCTCATATTTCCTGGTATTTTGTACAAACTAGATTTAAAAGTCTCAAGCAATGGAGTTTCCATCACTTCTCTTTAGATGCTATCTTCCTGCCCACCTCAATTCAGTCCAAAAAAGTAATTCCTAATATTCAGCTTAAATTTTCCATTTCTAAGTTTCTTCCTATTACTCCTTGTGCCATACTAAATACTTCTTCATTCTTTATATTTATACCCTTTAAATATCTGAATACCTATTGTCTTTTTTGTTATTACTTATTATATATATTACCTTAATGCCTTTGCAGTTTCTTGACTAAGATATTTTAAATTTTGATTCTCTTTTGCCTTAAAAGGAGTTGGGGTGGTCAGTATCTTTCTGGATCAGAACTTTATGACTTTCCTCAATTCAATCCCTCAAACCCCATGACAATTTTTATTACCTATATTTTAAACTCACTCTACTTTATCCGTATCTTTCTACTTATATGTTGCCCAGAACCTAATACAATTTCCCAGATGGCTTTCTGCTAGTATCATATAGAAGAATTTGACACTGGCAGACCAACCAATCTATGTATGACCCATAACAACTCAACAGGAAGCATTACAATTTGTAATCAAGACGATCCACTTATGTACAGGTATCAAAGAAATATTAATTAGGCTAGCAATCCCCAACTCATTCACTCTGTAAGATGCTAAGTGTATTTGTCTGTGTTTACCAAGATCTTGTTAGAAGTTTAACAATGTAACCAGACTAGATCATAGATGCTACTCCCCTTTCATATCTTAATTGCCTTAATTATGTATGCAGTTGTGTCCAGTTAACCTCAAGATCAAAGATGTGAGATACTGCAAGAAACCAGTAATATTATCTACACTGTCTTCAGTTTAACTATCTATGCTATAATGAAGTACTGGCTAATTACCTTATGTGAATAAATGTAACTAGTTTACTCATGTATGCATAGGAAATAGAAGACTAGCTTCAAAGCAAAGGTCCACATTTCCTATTCTTTCTCAGGGGAAGGCCTTGCTATGGCAATTGATGTGAGGAGTCTTGTCAGCCTGCTAGAAGACTGATAAAGGAAAGCTTCAGGCCTGATTCTTTCATCTCTAGTCTGCTTAAACTTTGAACAGGGAAAGTATAAGTCATCTGGAAGATCTCCATCTTACATTCATTTGGAGTAACCTGGAAAATGCTTGGAAAGACTTTAACGGACTTTACATTTAAGTTGCCTTTGAATTCTGACTTCTTGGGATGATTCCAGAGAATCTATTTATTCTATTACTGCTGTGATCCTGAACTATGAACGCTGAAAGTCACTTGTATGTATACTGGACTTTTAACCATTTGAAACTCTTTTTACTTTTATTATTAAACCTTTAGTTTTAGTTAGTGAGTTTTAGTTTGGCATCAGCGTGATTATTGGGTAAGATCTGAGACTCAGTCACCTGGGGATAAGTGTCTAGTCCTTTGGGATTGGTGAACCTCACATATGGTAAATCAGATTTTCAGTAACCCCTCACTATATGGGATGCCTAAAGGGGACTGCGTTTGACTTCTTGGTAACCAGTGTGGTATTACAGAGGAGCTGTTTTGTTACTGGCTTGGTGAATCTAAATATAGAATAAACCACCAATTTTGTGGATTGTCTGCCCTATTTCTTGCAGTCTGCCCTGAGTAAGGCATTCTCAATGTGGCACATCTAGGCACCCAGTCACAAAGGGCTATTATATGGCTCAAAAATACATTCTTTTTTTAAAGTGCCATAATGTTCAGTGAATTCATGTTTAGTTTACTGTCCACTATCACCCCTAAAACACTTACTATTCCTGCTTCCCAATTTTCTTCCTTTAAATAATTATACATTTCACAGTATTATAACATCACATTACTGCATTAGCTTGTATTTTTCTACATTGAATCTTATTTTGTTATTTTCTGTACATGGTTCTTAATTCTCTAGGTTACTTTGCATTATTTCTCACTAATGGCAGGTGTTCACAATTACTTTCAAATTACAATTCATAAATTCAGAATTTCACTGTCATGCTATTTACTACTACTTCTATATCATTAAACAGACCTATCTGTAATCCATATTGAACCCCTACTACACACCTCTCCCCAACTCACTACTTTGTTATTTTTCTTATTTTGCCAGTTTTCAGCACACACTGTTCTTCTCCAAGCCAATCTGAATTAATTTGCAATTAAAATTTAGAGACCATACCAAATACTTTACTTACATAGAAATATTACATCTTCTGCATTCCCTTCATACATTAATAATTCTAACAAAAAGAAATGTTGGTGAATTGGGGGAAGCACTAGAAGATAAATGGAACAATATAGTGTTCACTGTATCTAAAGCATCTGTCAGCTCTCTGTAACCTGAGTTTGCAATTTGGGCATCTTGTTAGATCTTCTGTTGCTTTTTGAGATAGTAACCAGGATCAACACTTTTTATCATCTGTTCCTGATAAGGAGGTTGAAACCCTTTCTCCCCCACCCGTCTTGCTACAATGGTCTACTCTTGAGATTAAGCTACTACAATGTGCCGTTTCACAGATCCAGTTGGGCTCTCATTAGGGTTTTAAACCTCTGGAGTGGGGGGTAATCTGTGTTCAGGAAGGCAAAGCTCCCCAAATTTGAACATGCAGTTCCTCTCAGCTGATCAAAATGGCTGAGAAGGGACAACAAATAGAGGAGATTCTTCCCTTTTTATAACCTTGTAGTCCCCTCTGTTAGCTGACTCTATTCATCCTCAACATGTGACCACAGTCCCTGACCAGATGATCCATTGCCTACTTACCTCCCCCTGGAGGCAAGACTTGAAAAACTGGTGTGCTCTGGGTAGCAGCCATCTCTTTCTCTAAAGGTGCTAAATTTGAATATGTGGCCATTAAAGTTTAACAACCTTCTATTGTCAGCCCTGTACTACTGTCCTTTGGAACTGCTATCCATCACAGAAGTAAAAGACTACAAAAAGGCAAAGACCTGCCTTACACACAAAATGGAGTTTGCTGTTTGACACACAGTGTTCATCATCTCACAGAATATAAATTGTACAGATTCTTCAAATCATCACAGCTGTATCTGGAAACACATTTTAAATCCATTGGAAAACGTGATCTCCAATGCAGAACAACACTTCAAGCATGATATCTTGCAGTGAGTATATGACAACCTGTGTTACATGACCTGCACTGCTACCTATTGCTTTCTGGGCAGAATTTGAAGAGTTGGCTTCAATTTATAAAGTTTTAAATGTTTTGAGACATATTTACTTGAGACGCCAAATCTTCTTATGTGCAATACGCCACAGTTGCTATTAGCAAAAGCATTTAATTGGGAGCCCCGATACATTAAGAGAAAGGGTCTATTGGCCAATCACTCTCCCCAGTGCCACCTTGACTCTGGAATCTCCCTTTTTAGAATGTTTTGGTCAGGTTGTGATCTTTGGAAAGATGATGAGTGGGGATGTTTTGCTCATTTGAATTAGTTAGAAGCTTTTTTTGGATGTGAAAACTATGTTGATTTTGTATTTCCTAGTTCGATTGTAATTGTAGATATTGTTTAAGCACCTAGGGTTAAGTTTTCAAAGATATTTAAGTACCTAAAGATGCAGATAGTTGTCTAGTGTGATTTTCAAATGAACCTAGCCACCTAATTCCCATTGAAGTCATATAGACAACTAAATATCTTTGAAATCCTGGGCCCTAGACCCTAGAATAGGATGTATTTTATGTGCTTTTAAATTTATGAAACATTTTATTGCCTAATAAATGTTTAGTTCATCAGTTAGATAGTACATCACGAATGCCTGACTAACACACATCATCCTCTTCCACTGCAGAACAATGTCCTACGAAACTAAATATTTTGCAAATTAAAGAACTGGACCAAGTATGGAAATTGAAATATAATTTAATACAGATAGTTTATGTACCTAAGTGATAACAGATTATAGTAAGTGAAAGCAGTATTTAATTAAATTTAAACATTTTAACTGTTTGCTACATCTCTAGATTTTTCAATAAACGAGTTTGAATCATAGCTTTTCACATTAGCATACCTCCTGACCTATCTGCAGCAAAAGTATTTGGATACTTGAAGGTAATCACCTGTAAAAATTTTAGGAGCAGTATTGAATATCAGACTCAAAGCAGAAGATTTAATTGGGGGCGGGGGAGAGAGGGAGGGATTTTAATATGCAAATACACTACTATGTTCAGATAACATCACATTGGGACTGTAACATCTGGTTATATAAGTCAGGTCACATCATATGACACATATCAATGACACCACATGCTAACTCAGACATTGTAAAAAAAACCCACACTTGATATGCTGAGAACTAGCAACTTTTTTAAGTACAAAAGAATAGAATCTACTGTATGGGAAAAATACAGTCCAGAGCTTAATATCCAAAACTTCACAAGTCATTAGCAAATTAAGTTAGCTATAAAAGAAGTGAACATGGGAAAGTGCAGAAAGCAGGCATTTCCATGTCACTGTATCTTTGATCACAGATATGGAAAAGGGGATTGCGGGTAAAGATCACTTTCAGTAACAATTCTAGCAGAATAGTATTGGAGAATAAATGTTATGAATTGAAAAATAGTTAAAGGGTCAAGACAGGAAAATATTTTTTCAAAGATCATTTCAAATGCATCTCAAATGTAAGTGAGCAATACCAAGATTGATGGGACCAAAAATGTTAGTTTCACTGTGAGAACAACATTTGATCTTTGTTTATAAGATCAGGTCCCGCCTTTGGCTCGAATGGAGGCATCTGAAAAAATGCAAAACAGAAGGATGACCACTGAGATACCCCATAAACTTCTCTTCATAGTGAATCTTTCAAGTTTTAATATAAAATAACTTGTTC